CGGGAGGAGGGTGCAGGGGCAGAACCGAACGGGATGTCCCGGAGCCCGGAGTGGGAAGACCCCGGTGGAGCAGGATGGCAGCAGGGAGACCCCATGGTGGAGGAGAGACCTGCTGGGAGAGATGATCATAATCCTCAGAGATCCCACACGGGACAGAAACCCCATAAATGCCCCGACTGTGGGAAGAGTTTCAGGGGGAACTCGGCGCTCCTCCATCACCAGCAATCCCACGCAAGGGAAAAACCTCATCAGTGCAGGGAATGTGGGCAAAGCTTTGTGCAGAAATCAAACTTGACTAGACACCTGAAGGTCCACACTGGGGAGAGACCCTATACATGTCCCCAGTGTGGGAAAAGCTTTCGTCAGAAGTACAGCCTTTCCCAGCATCAGTTAAGGCACCGGGAAGAGAGACCTCACAAATGTATTACATGCGGGCAAAGCTTCGCTCTCAAATCTTACCTTGTTCAACACTTGATGAAATGCCATATAGAAGAGGAATCCTATAAATGCCCCGATTGTGGGAAACTGTTTGCTCGGAGCTCATACCTTAGGAAGCACCAAATGACCCACATGAGGGAACGTCCCACAGATATATCCAGTGCAGGGTAGGGTTCACCCAGAGGTTGAACCTTCTGGTGCATCAGAGGAACCACACAGGTGAAAGATCCTACGGCTGCGTGGACTATGGGAACAGCTTCAGTTGGAGATTGGGGCTTATCCCGCACCACAAGACTCACATGGGGGGGAAAACTTCATGAGCGCACTGAATGCGGGCAAGGTTCAGTCAGAAATCAAACCCGACTAAGCCACCAGCAGCAGTGCAGTGCAATAGGGTCCTAAGTCTGCTGTGAAAAGTGATATTAATAAAGTTTCTTCACGCCCCTCACCAGAGAATCTCAGACACCCCTCCCCCTTGGTGCACCACTGGTCTAGTCCAGCTCTTCCCCACCTCAGGGAAGAGGCTGGCACAGCCCCTGACTCGTGACCCCCATGTAATAACCTCGCAACCCCCAGTTTGAGAATTCATGATCTAAGACACTTGTCCACAGATCAGCCAAGGTCTGGAGTTCCACTTCTTCCCAAAAACACAACCTAAAATGGCTGAATGAGATTATTGTTAATTGCCTAAGCAAGAATCTCACTCATAGTTGTCATATGGATAAAGCCTCTTTCTCACTCCCAATATAGTTAAAAAACCTCCAAAAAGTCACCAAGTAGAGTGATACCCTGCTTCCCCATGGCACACTGGGAGTGGATCAAATGATGGGTGGGGAAGCTGGCAGACTGAAGGTCTAATAGGGCAAAATGTCTGTTACCCCAAGAAACCAAAGCACATGTTTTCATCCCAAATGCGAAACTATACATCTGTTGTGCTCATCAATCAAATATACCATTGATGATCTGTTTTGTCCTATCAATATGTCCTCCACCCCTAATTTAGAAGCTGCACACTTGTCTGCTCTGTGAATCAGATAAACTCTCGCTCTCTCTATGAGGATAATTTCTTTTGTGCTATTGTGAGAACTAAATAGTATGAAATGCTTATATACGATGAAAGAATGTATGGAATTTATCCACCAAATTTAGAAGACTACAATGGATTTTGATTATTTTCTTGGTATATGATGGTTGCACTCCAGAAGCAATAGGCATGGGATAGCACAAAATGGAAGAATGGAAGATATAACCACTTCACCAGGGTACAGCCTTGAATTATTAAAAGAAATTGCTTAAAAGGGGTGAAATTCCAATCAACAACATCACAAGATGGGTGAGGTGATAACTTATTTTTTATTTCTACTGGCCATTTGCCAACCAAGTGCTCAGATTTCAGCTCAGTTTCTCTGCTGGTTCCATGGGTATCCAGTAGATGGCGGTAGTGTACAACAAAAATCTTCAATCCTTTTCCTATCAGAGTCTTTTTGTTTGATTCATTTCAAGGATTGTATTTCATATTAGCCCACTTCATTTATTGCATGCAGTGTAGTTGCAGCCGTGTTGGTCTCAGGATCCTAGAGAAACATGGCTACTCTTATTTCCATGCTGCTGCTGGTGGCAACGCTGCCTTCAGAGGAGGGAGGCTGTGAAAAGTGAAATTAACAAACA